TATCACTATGTCGGAGACGTTGTTACAATCATCCAGGTTTAAATCGTTAATAAAAAAAATATGGTAAAATGTGTAACACTAATACCATTTAAAATGATTGATTTCTATTATTATATATTTTTAAATGCAATTCATTCCTGAGATGGCAAAGCTGAATTTTCAACAGACATTACGCCAACAATTAGTTGTGCTGCTTAACTTTTTTTCAAGTTTTTTGTAACAATTTAAAAGTTTTTACTTTCAATTTTGATCAATTGAATGTCCTTGTTGAATAAAAAAAAAGTTAGAAAAAGTCGTGTGTGTGTGTGTGTGTGTGTGTGTGTGTGTGTGTGTGTGTGTGTGTGTGTGTGTGTGTGAAAAGAAAAAGAAAAAAAACTTTTCAACAGTATGTGGAATATTCAGTGTTCTCATATTCAGTATATAAATGTCATAAACATATCTGATAAAATGCCCAACCTGTTGAATGTTGTTTTTTATGCAGGAATATGCTGACAGCCTTCAGAACAGCGGCATCCATGGTGCAGTGATGGTTCTAGATCCGACCTTCAGCGCTGACACCATGGCCAAGGCTCTAGACATCCCCAGCAATAAACACATGATCCATCGTCATCTATACGAGGAAATGAAAGTGCTTCTCAATCCAGCAAGGTGTGTGAAGCTTCATTTCAGTACAGTCATAAGTATTGTATAGTCCCGCAGTATATGACAATCTAAACTGCAAGTAATAGCCTTGTTAGAGCACTAGTAGTCGTCAACCATCAAAGTAGCCTTTAAACTCCTCCAGGCACTCCAGGATACTCGATTCTGATTGGCCAATCGTGCCATCCAGCGATCGCTGTCATCCGGACTGATATAGTACAGCGTTGCCATGTCTCGTGTTTGTAATTTCACATCTCTCGTGTTTGTACAAAGTTCAGCAGTATATTTAAAAAGCTGAATTGCAAATTATAGTTATTAGAGCACTAGTCGTCAACCTTAAAACACTTTTTTAAATTATTTGTCGTTATGCCACTCATTTCAAACTTCAAAGAGCAATTTACGCGGCACATCGGAATGCTCGATTTGCTCAATAGCACCGCCCAGCGGTCGACTGTGAATATCAGTCCGCTCCTCCAAAAAAGGCCGGCGCTACTTTCACATCACTCGTGTTTGTACGCTTTGTCAAATAGATATTGAACCAAGAACATCTTTTCTACTGTATGTAATATTTTTAAGCACCTTTGGAACACAAAATAAAAAAATATGAGCGGTTAGTTACAAAGAATGTTTGCTTTTGAATATCACATTTTTAAGTTTGGTCTTTTTATGCAAAACAAAGGTTGGATTTTTGTGTAATAATATTTTAATTATTGGTAGGTTTTATTTACGCTTATGTAGATTTGTTAAAGGGGTCATATGATGCGATTTCAAGTTTTCCTTTCTCTTTGGAGTGTTACAAGCTGTTCGTGCATAGATAAGATCCCTGAAGTTGCAAAGACTAAAGTCTCAAACCCAAAGAGATATTCTTTATAAAAGTTCAAACTTGTCCACTCCCTCCTAAAACGCCTCGTTTAAACACGCCCCCACATGTCTACGTAACGATGTGGGAAGATTTGCATAACACCGCCCAAATGTTCACGCAAAGAAAGAAGGTGTGACTTTGTTTCTTGCTGTAGTATTGTTGCTGCTGCCGCCACCATGACGTGAAGGCGCTGTGTGTTTCGTTGTGAAAGCAAAACTACTTTGTTTGGTCTTCCAAAAGAGGACACAACTAGAAATCAGTGGTAAAGTTTTATTTTCAGTTCAGTTCCCCTGTTTCCCCTACGGCGCGCATGCTGACCCTATACAGTCTATAATGCTGACAAATGATGCTGACTCTCAGCCTGTAAGTACGTTTTCATATTTAAAGGATTTGCCACTGACGATTCAAACGTGAGTTTTGAGCAGTGTAGACTAGCGCTTGTTGTTTGTCATTTCTCCGATCACAAATGCAGACATGGTTTTATGTTTACGTGGCGCGATGCAATACAACGCGTAAAAAGACAGTATAAGTCATTATAATCAGTAATGATGCCCACTGGATGCAACAAATGCCTTGTTTATAATGGGTTTTATTGTTTTTGTCTTGTCGCACCGGGACACAGCATCACAGTATGGTAAAGGGTGTAACATTTCCATCACACGATTGAGGTATTCGACCAATCACAATGCACTGGATAGCTGGCCAATCAGAGCACACCTCGCTTTTCAGACCGATGAGTTTTGTAAAAATCTACGCGTTTCAGAAAGGCGGGGCATAGAGGAGAAACAATAATGTACAGTATGTGGAAAATAATGTGTTTTTTTAACCTTAAACCGCATAAACACATTGCATTACACCAAATACACAAAATAATGTTCTTTTTTAGCAACGTCATATGACCCCTTTAAAGTTTTGTGGCATTTAAAAATGAAATGTGAAAATGTCATTTTAATAAATAAATATGAAAAAACTAAATGCCTTAAATCTCTCTAAATTACTTTTTAACATATATTGATTAATATATAATATACATTTCATTTCATTTATATGTTATAATTTTTTATATTTAATATACATTACTAAACTTCAACTCAAATCAGCATTTCATTTACCTGTATTTATTTATTTGGTGATTAATAATCTCTGCAGAATAACAGTAACTGTATTGACTTTACGAGTGTGACTGAGCAGTATTTCTGTCTTACAGAACTAACCAGGCTCAGGACTACAGGAAAGAGGGGACTCCTACACATTCTCCTGTCTCAAACTGCCGCAAAACTGAGGAAGGATTTTCTCCCAGGCAAAAAGTTGGCAAGGTATGGGCTGTCCTGTTGTTGACACAACTTTGTCTGTGCACCTACATGTTATTGTTAATCTGTAAAAGGATTAAATAATATTTCTGTCATTCCACAGAGCCCTTTGAGATTCAATCCACTGGTCACTGTTGGGAGAGACTTGACTTTTCAAGGCGGCTGTGGATCACCACCCAGAGAAGATCGCATCAAGATCCTGCAGAGAACCAAGGGCAGTCCCATGCACGGTTACTCAAGCATAGAGATTACTAATGTCTGAGGGCAATGGTTTGTGTTTGCCTCTGAAGATTTAGGAAGGATGAATCTCCCCTAATTTCTAAATGGACCAAATGAGCTCAGTTATTTGTAAAAGAGATTTGAGAATTGACCAATTGCACTTTCGGGAATTTTGTATTGGCACTTAATTAGAAATGTTATAGACATGCTGCATTAAAAACCAAATATTTTGTTACTAACATAATACATAGATGAACTTGTCCTGATTCCTGTAAATTTCAGTCAGAACTGTAGGTATGCAGCTAAAAATCAATACCACATGTCCAGATGTCCATTCCCTCTATCAAGGTCATCACAACACTGTGCTTGTTTAAGGTTACAGAAAATGCTGGAATGAGGAATAGAGCTGTCAATGTATTGTGAAAACAATTGAATGCCTCAGTGAAGTCTTTTCTTTGTTTTAATACATCTGTTGCCATCTGCTAAGATGTTTGTGTTTTCACAAGCTTCATTTGCATATAAAATTAAAAGCAACCACCACTTTAGTAGCAAAGTAGTATGGATAATAGATTAGTCTCACAAGGATCACTCCAGTTTAATTGAAATGAGTTTTCCCACATTCAAAAAAAAAACTTTAGGGGAACGAAAGAAAAGAAAAATGTTTTATTATTTTATTCCCTGTTTGTGATTTTTAACATCTCTGTCTTACCATGCATGCAGTTCAGTTAGTTCAATGGAATATATATGTATATAAATGCATTGCACAATAAGGAAATGAAAGCGTGATCTGGTTGGAAAGCCTTTAATCCTCTCTTTAAGGAGTCAGAGAATCATTTTCTGTCACAAGCAGGGTTCCCAGAGGAATGTATGGAAAGGTAAAATGCAGTATACATTCTACAAGCCAATGCAGCACATGCATGGCATACTCTACAGCTGTGTTTTTCCACATGAAGCCACAGGGCAATGAGAGCAAAGTTCTGCAGCTCAGTGTGCAACAGCATTGGCCTTTTCTGCAAACAGCCTCTGTCATTGGGTCCACACAGCAGGTTAGATTACACGATTCGATTAATATCTTATTTTCAGATCTTGTTTAAGATCTGGTCAGGAATTGCAACTATGAATCACAGATTTCCTGCTGGGTTTGACGCAGATTGTCTATTGATAGATAGTGTGACGTCAGTTGCACAGTATACCAGCGCTAGGAGATGCACAGCTCGAGACAGTAACGGTGTGTTTTGCAATCACTAATCATTTTGATATCACTGTATCTTGTGGCATTAGTGAAACTGTACTTTTGAGAAACATTTGTACATAGATACATACCATGTGTCATTGACACAATAATCTGTATAAAAAAATAAAACTCTACATACATGTATTTGAGTGTTGGCTTTCTGTTTGTTTATTGGTTTAGTTTTATATATTATACACTGCTGTTCATAAGTTTGGGGTCAGTAAGATTTTAAGAAATTAATACTTAATTTTAATTCATTATAAAAAATGAATACTTGGATGCATTAAATGATTAGATGATCAAGCATGACAGTAAAAGCATTTATATTACAAAAGATTTCTATTTCAAAAAGATGTTGTTCTTATGAACTTTCTGCTCATCAAAGGATCCTAAATAATTATTAACGTTTTCTCAAAAATATTAAGCCGCACAGAAACAACATTTTAATATTGATAAAATCATGTGTGACATTGAAGACTGGAGATGTGCTTTGCCATCACATGAATAAATTACATTAAAATAAAATTAAAAAGCAGTTATTTTAAATTGTAAGAATACTGTACTTCACAATAATACTGTTTATATTTGGTGAGCATAAGTGACTTCTTATAGCCTACACACACACACATCGAAACTGCTATTGTAAAAACCTCTAGGTAATTCCCAAGGAAACCCTTTTCCCCCGGCGTGTAGGACCACGGTCAGCTGTTTTATCTCTCTATGAAATCCGACTCGCTTTAGGACCAAGCGTCCTACTCAACTCTTTACAAATGAGGAGTAGCACTCGATTGATTTTGAACAAAGTTCCTGTCTCTGTTTAAGCCCTCAAAGTTTCGAAGCAGAGAGAGTGGGACTGGAGTTATAGTATTCATACAGCTTTTCCTTCCTTAAGCGAATGAAAGGATCCCGAGGACGTTTGTTTCACCTGCGGCTGGGAGCGACACCTGTCTCAGGTACTTTCATGACACAAGGAGCGAAGGGCGTTGAACCTCCGCGGAACTTAGCTTAGGCCATAAACTTTAGTTTCACCTTGTTTTTTGTCACGTTTGGCGTTATGCGGCATCGTTAAGGTGTTTGACTTCGCTCACAGAAAGTAACACCGGAGCGTCTTTAGGATGTCACTGTTACAAAGTTTCTTTTATTGTTTCAAATAACTTACTTTACAAATATCGGGAATGACAGCCAGAATCTTCCTCGTGATGTTTCATGTCAGTAAGATGACATTCATACATCAATTATTCATGTTTTATCGTATTTGTTCGACAAGATTTGTTTGTAAAATTGTCGCTCAATCTTCACATCTGATGTCATCGTTTTTTTTAAACTAATAGTAATATAGTTTGAGTTCAACTATAGTGTATTGTCTACAGTTGGTCAGTCATTTTAATCTTTAAAACAAAATCTTTAAGGTCTTTCATTTCCCCAGGGTGGTTTGTACTGTAAACAAATGACGCTGGGAAACGGCAGAAATACGATCTGCTAGGGTTGCCCTTATAAAGGTTTACCATGGTAACCGGCACATTTCCAAGATTACTACTTATTGTTAAATCTGAATCATAAATTATAATGGTATCTCTTCCAAACAGTGTAATGCTGCGTTCACACCAAACGCGAATAGAGCGTCAAATTCGCGTCTACCGCGTCTAGTTTGCCGCTTGAACATTTTGAATGCATTCGCGCGTCTAGAGCGTCCGAGGCGAAATCCGCTTCTTGTGGGAGGGGCAAGTGCTAGGCGGTTGTCTGTTTGCAAGATGGCTGATGTTGATCGAGCATTCATCGAGAGAGTTACCGCTTTCCAAAAGTAATTAACCTGTCCCGTGATTTCTTTTTCCTCACACAACACTGTCCAGACACACTAAAGTATATTGGTTGTCTTTACATTATAATACATGTTTCATATAATCAAGATTTAGATATGGAATAAATAGCATTCAATACAAAATGAATATGTGTCATATATTGAAATCAAGTTTTTATGTGATAAAACACTTGCTTTGTTGTGCATTAGAACCACACCAGGCATTTAGTCATATTTCAAAATAATTTATTCAGGCCAAACATAAAATAATTTGAATATAAACTTAAAAAAATACAACATGTACAAACTATTTACATACAGAGACAGAAATAAAAAGGACCTAGCTTGGAACGTGGAAGAGCCTCAGGGAACAAAATGTAGGAGAAGAGGAAGCGTTTGTCTTCTGCGTTTCCTGCAGAGCCTGCTGCCTCATTTTTTTTTAAAGCCTACTGTGGGCTGTGGGGGCCGACACTCTTCCAAGCGAGGTCCTTTTTATTCCTGTCTCTATAGAAATATGAACTTGTGTCATAAATCTCTGGGTGACTGCTCACTGATAATATCAGTCGTTCCTCCATTTAGAATGAGTGACTCCGGGCGGGCCTGCCGCCACAGCAGCAAGCAGGCTCCTGATTGGTTAACGCGGCGCGAATTGACGCCAAAGTTAAAATTTTTCAACTCGGGCGTCAGACGCGAATTCGCGTCAAACGCGTAAATGCACAAAAAGCACCATTCGCGCGAAACGCTCAATTCGCGTAATTCGCGCGTCAATTCGCGTCTTCCGCGCCGCGCTAAACGCCTCATTCGCGCCGCGAGACCTCCAGACGCGCGTAAACGCGTCTTTACATTGACTTTACATTGACTTAACATTGAAATCATTCGCGCCAGACGCTCTATTCGCGTTTGGTGTGAACGCAGCATAAGAAACTTACAGAATCACAATTTTTTAAATTTCATTTGTGATGTGGTTTCCACAGTAACAATAGGGTATACATATCTATGGTAACTGAAGGTACGATGGGTACCATGGTAACCATAATGTCTGCTTGTATCAGTATTATTTATTTATTTAGTCATTTAGCAGACAGTGCAGAGCCAGTGGTGGTTTTGTAGGCAAACATTAATGCCTTCAATTTAATGCGAGCAGCTACTGGTAGCCAGTGTATTAAAGTATTAAATTATATTTAAGTTGACCACGGATTACACTGTCAAATCTGTTTCAATTTTTTTCATCTTATTTTACATTAAAACAAGACAATCTAATATAATTCAAACATGCAAATTAAAATGGAACAAATTACACAACAACATTTTTTTTATAAAACAACATCTGTAAACCGTTTTATATTATTTTTTGAAACCACTTTAAATAATTATATATCACTATTAAAGCTCATTAATTAAATTTAAAAAATAAATAAATATAGTCATCAATTTCAAAGTAAAAGATTGGTTTCTAACCTCATGTTTTGCTTTCTCCATCTGTTAGGTTTCCATAGGTTTCTCTCCATCTTTGAATTAGTGGAGGTTTTGGTTTAAATCTCATCTTTGTAATTCACTTCATGGCCACAACCCTAATTACTCCAAAAATATGTTTCATAATTCGATATGGAGGGAGTTTATCAAGAATAAGGCTCTCAGGACATATTTCAGTCACAAGATTTAAATGCTAAGTCCGTCTAATCACTTTTATTTTAAGTTATCTATTATGATGATTGGAGTATGAGTATAAATGAGTGTGACTGGCCTTATTTTACCCATAGTTACAAACTAATTGTATTTAGTTTGTATAACAAGTGTTATAAAAACATAATTTGTACTCTAGACAAGATACAAATGCAACCAGTTCATTTTATTGAATTATGATGTAACAATCCTGCCTTGTATTCTGTAAGAATAAGTTCAGATAAGCTCAGATAAGGTCATGGGGTGCATGTTTAGATGGGGTATTTAGTGACCTGTGGTTCAGTGTCTGTTTATTTCAGGATAGGGAACAAGAGTTACTCTGTGTATTTGGACAGGCCTTCCTGGTCTTTTGTCATATTTCCCTATTTTATGTTTCTTTTGTTTTGACCAGAATTTAATGTTCTTTGCTCTCATGGACTCCTTTGTAGACGTGTCACGTACCCAAATCTGCATGGGATTAATATATTGCTTTAATTTAAGATTGGAATTGTGCAAAAGAAAAAAGAAGAGTCATTTTGTCATAGCATCTCTTTCCTGAGGATGAATTTAAAAATCCATTTGAATAAGACTCTTCCTGCTAGTCTTGAGAAACATATGCAGGCTTTTACATTTTAGTGTGCACATTTTGCAGTGCTTGTAATGTCTTGTTCTGTGAAAAACATGTTCTATTAGTGCCCCTAAACATGTAAGGCTTTCTCCAACTGTACACTTTGTTTCTACACAGACTATTGCTCTCTTTCCATCTGCATTCCTCATTCCGCTCAAAATATGAATAACTGAATCCTTGATTTCTTTTTTCCTCAAGCCACTTGTTGTAAATCGATATTATTTTTGACGGTTTACTCTTCTCCTTCAAATAAATGACACCCACAGGCAGATGAGTCATTCTGAAAGGTCCCACAAAGCCTGCAATTGTGATGTCTTTTTTAGTGGTCTACCTGAACACATAATGTAAAACGTTCATAAAAACCACTCCAAATGTCACCTTAAGATAAAACGTGCATATCCACAGCCGCCTAACATTGCACATTTACAAAAACATTTACAGAAGTAGTTACCTGTTGTAACAGGGAAATATTTTAAGAGAACGTCTTATATAAATATACTAAAAATTGTGAGCATTTTGCAAGGATAAAATGAATTCACCTACAGGGAATTTGGTTTTGCTAATAGATGAGGCTGTTTGCTCAGTTTTAATGTGAATTTAGAGTAGCTTTTACCTAAAATAACACCCCTTCCCCATTTTCATTCTGAGCACAGTGAAGTGCCCACATTCACAAGTGAACAATGCTGTGTTGTTATGGCAACAGTTAGTGTACGGCAGCAGCCTAACCTCTGTGCACTGGATCAGTTTTAGGTGATTTATTTTTTCATTGCTTGAAACCAGTGTCTTTCTGATGGGTCTTAACCTTTACTTTAGTTTTTTGACATTTTGTTGAAAGCTTTTGTTGATGTTATGAAAGTGAGTATGGATGTGGGAACGATTATGGAAGTGTTTGTAAATATTATCTTTAATGCACTTATTTTATAACATTGAAAGTATGTAATAATGATGCTGACATTTGAGGACATTTGACATTTGTTTCTTTCTCTTTTTATCACATCCTGACGAGAACATAAAGCTTTTTAGTGCTTGTGCAACAAAAAGAAGATGAAATATATGTTCATCGGTTGTGTAGTTGATGCTTTATCTGTGTTTTTTTATTATTTTTGTACTGTTACGTGTACAGAATGATGGGAAACATCTTGTTGCACAAGCCTTGTTGACTCATAAACCGGCTAAATGAGTTGCACTGTATTTTCTGCCAGGCTTTATGGTTGTTCATGAACAGTGCACAAAATGCCTACAAACTGATTTTTACATTCAACATTCAAAATAATGTTAGCTATAATTCTTTGATTGACCACTTCCTTTTGTATCAAAGAAAGTGACTTACTCATAAATGCAAATCACTGTACTTCCATTTAGACCATATTTCTGCCATTTTCAATATCATTTTTATAGTACAAACACCATTTTCTCAGAAAAATTATTTGACTTTATTATAGTAATTTTGTTTAAAAGGGGAATAAAATGGAGAATCAAAATGTACTTTATATTTACACGTATAAGAGGTTACTCTGCAATTAAAACATATTGCAAATTTCAAAACTCAGAGCTAACTCCCCAGTTTAAAATATTAATAATTATTTTCTACCCTTCTGAAACGCCAGATTTGAAATCAGAAGTATCGTGATGTCTGATGTCATGATTTTCCCTTAACACAAGGAGGTGTGTTCTGCACAACTCGTGTCTGTCCATCAATCACAAGAGGAATACTGCTGTTAGTTAAATAGAGAGAGACCTTTTTGTTGCAAAAAATGTTACAAACTTTATGTAGTAACCTCAAGAAACAATATGAAATTCTGAAACTGCATTTTATGACCTGTGATCAGTGTAAGGGCTCATAACAGATGAAAGGGGCGGGCGAGGATGTAGTGGACAAAATAATTGGACAAGTCCAGCATACAGTGCCTTGCCAAAGTATTCATACCCCTTCATTTTTTCATGTTTTATGTTGCTGCCTAATGTTAAACTACTTTACATTTCTTTTTTTCCCCCACAACAATCTACACTCCACACACCATAATGACAAGGCAAAAACACAATTGTCAAATCTTCATAAATTTATTCAAAATAAAAAAACTGAAATAAGTATATTGCACAAGTATTCATACCCTTAACTCAGTACTTAGTTGAAGCACCTTTACAGTCTTTGGTATGATGCAACAAACTTTGCACATCAGCATTTGGCAATTATCTGCCGTTATTCTCCTCACCTCTTCACCTCTTTAGTTCTGTCAGGTTGGATGGGGGCAGACGCACATTTTTAGGTTTCTCCAGAAAAAATTTTTTGGGTTCAAGCCCAGGCTCTGGCTGGGCCACTCAAGGACATACATAGAGTTTGCACAAGTATTCATACCCTTAACTCAGTACTTAGTTGAAGCACCTTTACAGTCTTTGGTATGATGCAACAAACATTGCACATCAGCATTTGGCAATTATCTGCCGTTATTCTCCTCACCTCTTCACCTCTTTAGTTCTGTCAGGTTGGATGGGGGCAGACGCACATTTTTAGGTTTCTCCAGAAAAATTTTTTTGGGTTCAAGCCCAGGCTCTGGCTGGGCCACTCAAGGACATACATAGAGTTTGTCTATAAGCCACTCTTGCTGTGTGCTTAGGGTCACTGTCCTGTTGGAAGGGGAACCTTCTGCCCAGTCTGAGGTTCTGAATACTCCGAATACTTTCGCAAGGCACTGTATGTCACCAGAGAGAAGTTTGTCTTTTCATTGGAAGATCGACTCACGGCATTACAAATTATAAGGTCAAATATGAGTCTGGCATGACATAAAAACAATACTAAAATTTTTATGAAGATTTGTAGCAAGTTTTATCATGTACATGGTAATCCTTTCCATGACATGCTAAATGCTTTTGTTTGAGAGTGGCGTTTTTGTTGTGGAATCTGTCTCCAGTGATCTGAAACACAGAAACCCTTTTCTTCTGATGCTTGGGCACCATTCCCAGTCATTTCCAGGAAGTATTTCCTCCTCATTGAAATATAATGTTTATAACGTTTATGTCTGTTTTTTGTTTTCGTGTCACAGTGCTACTCTCATCCTCCACATTTGGGCCACTCTTCCGGGTGTAAGTGTATGCTCGTGAGTATTGAAGAGGAGCATTTACAGCTATGTGCTCCAGTGGGCAGCCTCTGTGTTCAGGAAGCAGGCGTTCACCCATCAATAGAGAGGGCAGTAGCTCAGGCTCCCAGTATGCTCTCTGTGCACTGGGGGTGGGCCTAGTGGCACTCGGTGTTGTCATGATCGTGTGGAGCATAGTCCCTTCTGAAATGACACAGCTTCACAATGCTACAAACACGAACGTCGGCAGTGACAGCGGTGATGAAGGGAAGACATCGTCTGTTGCATTTGTGCTGGTTGGAGCTGGTGTTGCCATGTTGCTCCTTGCTGTATGTCTCAGGGTGAGGAACAAGAAGCAAATGAGAGAACGGGAAACTACAGGTGCAGGCGGTGCTGATTATGTGGATAATGTCCATAGAGATGAGGAGTGAGTACTGCTCTATACTCATTAAACTTTCTCTCTCTGGTGTTACGATAAGATGAAGGGGTTAATGTCCAGGTTTTTGTATAGGGATGCACTGATATTAAAACCCTATACAAAAAAAAATATTAAAGCCGATAAAGATACGCTAATAATTATTTTCATGACCAGTAACATATAAATCCCTGATATTAGTATTAAAATGTTTTTAAAAATCTGTTATTTAAATGCTACAAACCAATTTAAGCATCAAAACAGCATAATGTACAGTATAAAAGTCTGAGATGTATACAATTAGAGAAAATAATATTTCTTTCTTCCTTCCTTCCTTTTTTCTTTTAACGTAATTGATACTTTTTCCCAGCAAGGATTATTTTAATTTTTTCAATTTTTATTTATTTTTTTACTTTTCATGCATCAAAGAATCATAAAATAGAAATATCAAGCAGCATAGCACAACTGTTTTTAATGTTGATAATAATAAGTAATGTTATTATGTTATAATGGCTGCTGAAATCTCAGCTTTGCCATCACCGGAATAAATATTTTTAAATAGAAAACATTTATTTGAAATGGTGGTATTGCATATTAGAGTTTTTAATGTATATTTGATTAAATAAATGCAGTCTTGGTGAGATTCTTAAAAAAAAAAAAAAAAGTTTTAAATACTGATCCTACACGCACACACACAATATTGCTAAATTAATAAAAATTTGAAATGAATAACAACAAAAAAAATCTCTTAATATATCATGCATCCCTAGTATATTGACCAAATATTATGTTCACCTGCATGCAGCTCATGTTATCATTTCTCTATGTATATATAATATTAGATCAACTGATGAACCAGCACCCAGCTATGATGTCCCCACCTATGAGGAGGCAGTCACCAGTGGACAATACCCTGTTCGGCAGAGCAACTTGCGACAGAGCTACCAGCTGCCCTCGTATGAGGATCTGATTGCTGCCGTTGAAAATGAAGCCCAGCAGCCTAGAGAAGGTAATGGTCAAGAGGCCTCTCAGCCAGCTACTGGCCCCGGACCCCAGCCTGCGGCACCTGCTCGAAGCAGCAGCAGGGCCAGTCGCATCCTCAGACCTCTCAGAGTGCGCAGAATCAAGTCTGAGAAACTCCACGTGAAGGATATTCGTTTGAATATCCAAAACCCTGGACAAAGTGGGGTGGTGGCCATTGAACCGCTGACCCCACCACCACAGTATGAGGACAAGCCCCCTCAACTACCCACAGAAGTAGTGTAATGATTTCGATCAATGGATTTTGTTGAGTGTTGGCATCTGTGGGTTGTTCGAAAAATGTTGATTCATCTGTGCGGAAACAGAAATTTTAGTTTGAGCTATAAATGTATCTCAAAATCTGCCAAATTATGAAATAGGATACCTTCATGTGCGCTGTCAGTGCTTCTTGGACAAAACACTAAAGCCTACTTGAATGTTTTTTTTAACAGAACTTTTTATATTTGAAGAATGGATTAGATTAGAGTAGTGTATTGTACTTTTTATTTAAAACTCTGAGGAAGGATATGAATGCCACAGCGTGTCTCTTGAGAGAGAGAGAGAGAGAGAGAGAACACGAGAACTACACACGGTTCTTTGAACTTCCAAAGAACTACACAGTTTACTTCCAAAGAACTCCACTGTACATTGCAAAAAATACAAATAAAACAAATTATTATAAAAGAATAAATTACAACTGAAGAATCCCATCAAACTTTGGTTGCCATGTTGGAAATGCCAAATACTGTTTTTGGAAATAACAAAAAAAAAAAAATTTGTCAAAAACATTTTTTTTTTCAAGGATTTTAAAATGCTATTTTACATCTGACTGTTCTAGTTTTTCTGCTTAATTTTTTACTCCGAATATATAATACATTGAACCAGATATTGTACTGTTGTGCCCATAAAATGTAGTGATGGAAAATTAATTTATAAAATAGAACATTTAATTCCAACTAATTTATTCAGTACCACTCCCAACTAATAATGTAATACATTTTTCAGTATGTGTTTGTTAACATTGTGTCACTGTCTGTTTTGTTTGCAACTGTCTTTTTTTCCCCCCCCAAATGTATTGTTCACTGTATTTTAAGGGTGCAAGGTTTAACTTACTGAAATAGAATGGAATTAAAAGTATTCTCAAAACTCATAGGAATATTTAATGTTATTGTAGAACAAACTCTGCATTAATATGAAATTCTAATAAGTGATATAAAAAGAAGGGTTTGGATAACAAATGGAAATGCACCTTGGGGGACTTTTGTTTCTTGGGGAACTCAACACTTAATTACTGAAGTGCAAATGAGATTTTAAAGATGGACTAACTATTCCACCTGCAGTTTGATGGGACAAACAAGCCATCATGCTGCAGATTGACCACTTTCAATTATAAAAATATATCGTTAGCCAACATTTGCAGGTAGCACCTTTGAGTTGTTGTTTAGTTTGTTTTAATTCCGTTTAATCATTTCATTAGGGTGTAGAATCCTGGTAAAAGGTGTGGCTTTGCTTATAGATTTACTTATGACAAAAGGAATAAGATTGTGTAATTGATACAATTCAAATTTTAAAGCAGAAAATACCTGTATTTTATTTATTTCTTGTGGGACATAATAAAATTATTTAAATCTGTTTTTGTTCATCTTTATGGTTCTTTAAGCTGAGAAATAATGTGCTGATTTGTAGCGCCACCTAGTGGCTGAGAATCGTCTAAACAACATTGAGTTGCTGTCAATGACAAATTTGATTGCACTTTTCTAGCTGTAACTTCTAACAGCATATTATGCAGCTCGTTTGACTTTGTATCTAGCTTAACAGAGTGGATGTGGTACGATGTACGACATGAAGGGGAGTGAATGACAAACGTTTTCATTTTTGAATTATTCCTTTAAGACAACAATTATTTATCTTTTCTCAGTTGAAATTGTAATTGTAGTGTCACTGCCGATGACAACTTTTTTGTACCATTTTCCCCCTCTTCATTTATCATCAAATCTAGCCTATTTTCCCAACCTACTCTCACTTACTTTTTCTCATTTCAGACATCAGTCAAACTTGGGGGTCTGTATTGTGACGGGTATTTGAAGCCAAATCAAACTGCATTCATGAGTTGCCCCCAAGAGCTTAACATATAGTCAATCATTTCAAGAACCAGGATTTCGTAGAACGGTGACTGTGAACTAAGGGTTGAATTTCAAGCAACCCCAATTTAGGCTTATGTGCCAAAATGAACCATTAGACAAACGCTTGTGTTTTTCAAAGTTCCATGAAAAACAAATGAAGCTGTTACATATCACCCAATCTAAACAAATCCGTATGAGTTATCCCTTCACTAAACTGTAATCTTACATTTTAGAACATTCGTCATAATGACATTTTGAGAGAGAAGCAATATCACACTGAATATGATTACAAATAACTACTATTTTAATATATTTAAAAAATGTAATTTATGCCTGTGATGGCAAATATACATTTTCAACAGCCATTACTCCAGTGTTCAGTGTCACATTTCTTTCAGAAATCATTTTAATATGCTTATTCGCTGCTTGAGTAGCATTTCTTCTTAAAAACCTGCTTAATATTTTCGTGGAAACACAATTTTTTTTTTAGGATTCTTTGATAAATAGAAAGTTATAAGTAAACAGCATTTGTTAGGCTTTTTTTTTTTTTTTTGCAACATTAATGTTTTTACTGTCCTTAAGTGATAACTTCATTCTTTTCTATCTTACTGACCCCAAAAGGTATGTACTTTTCAGACAAAATTTAATTGTACATTTCTATTCGATGTAGGCTATATTTTTCAAAAAAATTGAGTTGCAGACACTTTAAATAACGATGATTAGTTGTGGCTTTAACATGATTATTAGTTGTAGACTTAATCTACGGCTATCTGTAATGCTTTATTCTTATTGCTACTAATAATAGTGATATTTGAATAGGCCTAATAGTGCAGTGTTGCTTATGTTATAGGTCTATTGTTTAATAAGCTTGTAATAAGCGGAATCGGGAAGCCAAAACAAACCCCTTTTGAGATTTAATGTAGGCTACATTAGTTTCACGATACTTTGATTCAAATATTTTCATATTCAAATTTTCATAAACTACTGCTCTTGCAGTTTATGTAATGTTTGTTAATGAAAGTTACTATAGCTGCTGTAAGTAAACTCCACCTCTCCTCGACCTCCTCCCGCTGTGCTTCTACGTGTAGTTTGTGTTCCCGCATTTGCAGCTGCTCAGGCTGCGGGGGGAGGGAGAACTGTTCATGGAACAGCCAGCCCGGGGAGTCAGTCACATTCTTTCTTGGCCGGGATTCAATGACTGAACCAGACACAAACAAACACAGAGAGAGAGAGAGAGAGAGACGGAGGCTCGCATACTCTCATAGTAAATCGGAGTCAATTGCGCCGACAAGCTTTACACAAGGCACACATTTTGCGCGTGAGTTGCACCGGGTCTGTGAAACAGGCGGACTGAGAATTACATTTCGTTCAAAACTTTACACTTTAAAGAGGATTTTCTCGTCGCTCGGAACTCTGGTTCGATTTAGGATTCGAACATGAAACCGTTGAATGGATTACAAGGCGGCGTTTTACGCTTTCCGAACTGACATGGACTGTTGCGACTCTTTCCGTTCACATTCACCGAATCTGTTGTGATCAGACTGCCCGGGTTTAAACATGGAGGCTGCTTCCAGCTTTCAGCCGCATCCAGGACTTCAGCAAACTCTCAAGCAGTTTCACTTGAGTTCCATGAGCTCCCTCGGCGGACCGGCAGCCTTCTCGGCCAGGTGGCAGCAGGACATGCTGTTCAAGAAGGACGGTAAGAGCGCCGAGGTTATGGTGAACCTCCCCGCGCAGACGCCCCCGGTCATGCCGGGGCCCCTCTTCATCCCGTCCGACCGCTCCACCGAGAGGTGCGAGACGGTCCTGGAGCGGGAGACCATTTCGTGCTTTGTGGTGGGCGGCGAAAAGCGCCTCTGCCTGCCTCAGATCCTTAACAGCGTCCTGCGAGACTTTTCCCTCCAGCAGATCAACTCGGTGTGCGACGACCTCCACATCTACTGCTCCAGGTGCACGGCGGACCAGCTGGAGATCCTCAAAGTTATGGGCGTCCTGCCCTTCTCGGCACCCTCATGCGGACTCATCACCCAGACTGATGCCGAGCGCCTCTGCAGTGCACTCATCTACGGCGGCACGTTCCCACCGCACGCCGACAAAGAGTTGTCGTGCTCCATCGAGCTGGAAAGAACGGAGAAGAGCTTTAAAGTTTATCACGAATGCTTCGGGAAGTGCAAGGGCCTGTTCGTGCCAGAGCTCTACACGAGCCCCAACGCGGCGTGCATACAGTGCTTGGACTGCAGGCTCATGTTCCCTACCCACAAGTTTGTGGTGCACAGTCATAAAAGGCTGGAGAACAGAACCTGTCACTGGGGCTTCGACTCGTCCAACTGGAGGGCTTATATTCTTTTGGATCAAGACTATAGTGACAAAGAGGAGAGCAGTGCACTGCAGCAGCTCCTCAATGAGTTAAAGGGAAAATTTGACCTGGGGAACAAGCACAAGACATCTTACAAGGTGAGCTTAACCCTTGACAATGCACTGAAATATTATGATAATCGAAATCTGGACTGTTTTACTCCAGAATTATGAATATTTTACTCCCATATATTTATAGAAATGATCAGTGGCATATGATCATTTAATGTATTGTGTGTATTGTATTTTACTTTATTGGTTCTCATGCACTTATATTGAACTTTCTCTGTGTCTCTGATCATACAACACCTATTAGACCTGGTGCCACCTCAGAAAACTGTCCTATAGCTGTGCATCCCAACTAGTTTTGCTTCAAAACCCAAATTTTACATTGGGTATGATGTAGTGGCTGTGCCAAAATTGTTTATTGTGCCAAATCAACCAAAAATCTTTAATGTCAAACATATTTTCCTTCAGTTTCACCGTACAAAATACAAACACAAACCATACCTTTCCACATTTCACCCTTTATTTTTGAATTTCACAACCTGTCCATGTTGGCATTTAGTTAAATTAGAAGTTTAATTTGATGCCAGCACCAAAAAAATATGGTAATTTTATGCACTAGGCTATATCATATGCATTTAGCATTGTTCTTTCCTTACTTTTCGAGGTCATAACAGACCAGCTGAGAACCACTGACCTATACTGCATATATTTATGATGTAATATCGTAATCTAATGCTATCTTTGAGCATATTGAAATAAAGGTGCACAGCCAGCCGGTGTCCTGCCCCCAAACTTATTTGTTTTGTGCCTCTGGATGCACTCAGGGGCATCTACATATGAAAAATGGAATTATGTATTTTGTGGGAGCCAGAGATGGAGGCTTGGGGAAGCCAGTAGTGGAGGAGGATAAGAGTGCTGTGTAGGACATTGTTTTGTGTGTGTGTGTGTTTTGGGTGGGGGGCAGGTTGGGGTTGAGGTCACTCTCCAAAAAGCAGTTGGTGTAGGGTCAGCACTACCCTTGGGTCTCCCAATGTCTGATCAGGCTCCACGCCAGGGTCAGAGCGGACAAAAGCACGGGAGTCTCGGGTTGGCTGCTCCCTCCACGCAGCAGCTGTTGAGTGTGATCGTGCTAATGGGTCTACACACATATATGTATGTGTTACCGTGGTGTCACTTCAGCAGCCTTGGGATGCATGGTGTAGCAAATGCAGTTTCATTACTGTGGGAAATCTGAGAGACATGGCACATGTCATGTATATTTAACGATTGCTTCTCAATGGGAAAAAGTGTTGATTGATATTTGTCATATGGAAGCTGAGTGGCTAGTTTACACTTTGCCTTGCGTCTGGTTAGGCTAAAGAAACATGTATTTTTCTGTGCAGTTATTGTTGCAACCTTTTATGCATGTCCTATATTTGTTTAAATTGTACAATAAGCACATTTCACCATGATGCTAGGGTCTGTCCTAACAGTACAGTAGCCGTAATGTATCCAGAAGTGTGAATTTTGTGCGGTTTCAATGGTTCATTGTCAGAGGTGTCCCAGTTAGCAAGCTGGTTGGGTCCATGGGGAGCTGTGTACTGGCGGACCTGTAAAAAAAAAAAAAAAGCTGCTTTTTTTTCTTTCTTCACTTTTCAACTAACCTTAGCTCAATTGAGACATGTATTTTTATTTTTTTTTTCCTTAATTTTTTTAAAATAAACTTTTAACTTTTCAGTCTCACTGAGAATATTTGCTTTTTGCGGTCTCTTGCAGTGATTATGCTTTTTAGAGAATTGCTGCTTTCAAATATTACTATGATGAGAGGCTGGTTACCATGGTTATACGGTTTCTGAATCCTCAGGACTTTTATGTAATATACTTGTTTGCAGCAGTACGGAGTATACAGAGTTTGCTTTATTTAATTTTTTATCTAAGGTGAATCAGAGCAGAATATCTCAGAGCTGAATTTATTTAAAACTGCATCCAGACTTTGTCTGGACTGGCTGACATAGTGGGGTAGATCACAGGGAGAGGGTGGCGATTTGTCATTAAGAATCTGTCGCCCCTGTCCGCCAGGGCCTTGACGTGCCGTCAAAGGTCCGTGACATGTGACCTCCCTCCAAAGCCAGTCAACCAACAACCCCACCCCCTCTCCTT